ACACACACACACACACACACACACGTGCCCGGCGTGAGTTTAAGCCACCAGGTCCGGGACGCGAACAGCGGTCGACTACATGGGAGTCCAGCGTCATAGCCATTATGCTAACTACTGGTCCCAGATACTGAGTCCTTTTATGCGCCAGGCCCTGGCAGTTTCCCTAACTTCACTCACATTCACTAGCACACTGAATATCCAACACGTTCAATCTTAATGACTACCCTGTGAGGAAGGTATTACCTTCATTTTACAGCTCAAGAAACTGAGGCACAGTTTGAAATGACCTCTACATCACACTTACTGAAGGGTTGTTGGAGGAAGTTAAGGGAAATACGGACTATGAAGAAATAGTTTAAAGCTACATACTAAGTAAAAAAATTTCGTGGTAGAAGAGAAAAGTACCTAAAAGATTAAATGCTTCCTAAAGGGAGTTCCATTTTGGAAGCCACAAGAAATCTTGATCCTCATTTTCTCACTTGAGAGTACTAACCTTTCTCTGTACCACTCTGGAAAATTCCACCTTTCCTCACCAGGGCTGTTCTCACCTCAGGGCTATCCCTCTTCCTCTACCAAGTTTTTTCCCACAAGTGAAAAATCGTGGAGTCTGAGTTACTCACCCTGCAATAATACTGAGAGGACTGATGAGGGGGATTGCTGGTATTCCAGGTGTCTGGTCCTCCTTGGTGTCTATCTGACATGGTAGTGATGGCTAAAGAACTTCATTCTGACATGGACTATCAGTAGCTGCTGGATCATACTTGAATTTCCCAATGACTAACTTTAGTTGTCAGAATTGGTTGCGTTTTAAACTAACCTGTAAAGAGGTTAAGACACAAATCTAAATGGATTATAATTTGTAAATGCGCCATTCTCAAAATGAAGTTAGCACTTTAGATTACTATGGTTAGTTTATTTAGTTCATTGTCCTTCTCCTTTCAAATTGTGTTTTCTCGGTCAAACCATCCTTCTCCCACTAACTACCCAGGGTGGGAGGTAAGGTAGATGAGGGAATGAAATCTTTAGGTCTTCCGGCTCTATTACAATATGAATATGGTCATCTGAGAGGTTGTTTGGTTTTGTTTTGTTTTTAACATAATTCCGATGCATTCACAATGGATCGATAAAACACTGTGGTTGATTTTTCTTTTGATCCATTCTATTAATATTCCAGAACAAGAAGTATTCATTGAGAGTTCCCTGAGGGCCTGGTTGTTATTAAACACTGTCTAACTACTTTCTTTGTGTCAAATATCAGACTCTGGCTCTTACCCAGATAAGTGGTAAAAAATCTCATGTTAATGTTTTATGGTGGTAAACATTACTGAAGCTGGCCCCAAGCAGAAGAATAAGTCGGGCACTATAAACACAGGCAATTTCTAGAATGAAAGCAAACCATTTTTCTGTGAGTTGTTCACAATGCCCAGAATAACAAATTAAGTTTTTCAAAGCACTTTCATACCTGCAACATTGTTTTAATCTCACAATAACCCAGAAAGGTTGTTAGACTTGGCATCATTACCTAAATTCAATAGACCAGGAAATTGAGACTTGGAGCGTTTAAATAATTGGGCAAGGTCACCCAACTAATTAATCACAGAACAGAGCTTGTTTTCTGACATCCCAGTTTAGCCTTGCCAAAGCATTGAAGTCTGCCGTCTTTAGTTCCATAAATCATTTTACAAGTATTCTCTCTAACGCATAGTTCTACAGACATCTTTTTAAACTCATTTAATTCTCATAACCACCTTATGGGTAAGTATTCTTATTATGCCCATTTTATAGAGGAGGAATTTTACGAAGTTATTTACTTTCTAAACACATGCTAAACCAGAGATGAGCCTTGACAACACACACCTTTAAATAATACTTGGCATGCCCTTCGTAACCTTAGCATGTTCAATATGGTGTTCATCAAGAACACAAGCTCAGGGGGCCAGCAAGTGCATGGTGCTTAAGGTACTGGATTCCCACGTGGTTGACTACAGTTCGAGTCCTAGACCTGGCAGCTTGAAAATTATGCCAGGTGCATAAATATGCACCTAAAACCCAGTGAGGAAGATGGAGGAGAAGGGATTGCAGTGAGGCCATTCCTTCTGGAGAATAATTTCTCACCTTCCCTCTATCTGCCTTCTCTGTCTCTCTCCAGCAAGCATATGTACCTTATGCAAAAAACTAAAACAAGCAAACAAACAAACTTGGAGACTAGCCTCACAGCATAGCTTCAGGGAGGTGGATTCTATGTGACCAACCACCATTAGAGTCCCAGCCCTGGTGGCCTGAAAAGCATGCCAGATGCATGTGTGTGTGTGCCCAAATCCTGAAAAGAAAGAAAAATACAAGAGAAGGGATTGTGGCATGACCACACCCCAGTTGAGAGTGTTTCCCTTTCTCTTTGTTTCTCTCTGACAAGTGCACATCCCTCTGGCAACTGGGGGAAAAAAAAATACAAACTGGTGCTGATCCTCTAGTGCTCAGGTACTACACAGAGGAACCAGATCCTATGTGGTTGACTGGGGTTCTAAGCCCTGACTGCAACATGCTGAAAGCACACATGTCCAAAATCCTGCTGGGATGGAGAATGGGAAGAAGGAGGATTGTAGTGTGACAGGCCCCATTGGAGGGATGTGCTTTATCTCCCTCTCTTTCTCTTTCTCACGCATATGCTCTACCATAAATAAAAGAAGAAAAACAATTTTTAAATGATAGGTTTGAAATCCCAGAATGATCTCTGAAACAAATGTGTTCAAAGGGGGAAGGGACAAAGATTCTTGTTGTAAACTGGGAACCAGCAATAATTCTAGTCATTATCATTGACATTAGGAACAACTTCAAGAGTTATCTTCAACTGATTTTCTTTTTCATTTTTGGGTTTTTGCCACAGGTTGCATGTGCTGACCAGAGAGAAGTAAAGTAGTAACCGTCCCCTAGGAGGGATGACCATGCCACAATTCCTTCTGCTCCAGTTTCCTCTCAGGATTTTGGGCACATATGCATATGCTCCCAACATGATTTTCAAGCTGCTGCATCAGGGACTTGAACCTTAGTTGGCCACGTGGGAATCTAGCACCTTAACTATCATGGCACTTGATGGCCTTATCAAAAAAAATTTTAATAAAGCACCAAAACAATTATCTGGGAAAAAGAACAGTCTTTTCAACCAGTGTTGCTTGTAGGTGGATTATCCACATGCAAAAGAACCACATATAAAAATTAACTCAAAATAAATTGAAGACCTGAATATAATAAGATCTAAAACCATCAAACCCTTGCAAGAAAATGTAAGGGTTAATCTTCAGGATTAATCTTTGGGTTAGGCAATCGTTTCTTAGACATGACACAAAAACATAGGTAACTAAAGAAAAGATCATTTGGACTTTGATCAAAAACATCGTGCAAGCTGGCTCTGGGGCATGGCAGTTGAGGCAGCCATATCTCACACAACCAACAGCACAGTGTGAGTCCCAGACCCAGTGACTTTGGAAATGAATTGGGTTTGTGTGTGTGCACCCAAAAAAGGAAGGAAGGATGGAGGAGAAGCAACGGCAGAGTAACCATTACTCATGGAGGAGGTGTTTTCTCTCTCTTCCTCTCACTGAGTCTTTCTCTGGTGAACACATGTACCCTCTACCTAAAAAAAAAAAAAGAAAAAGAAAAAAGAAAAACAAGGGGCCAGCAGGTGGTGTGGTAATTAAGGTGCTGGACTCCTACATGGCTGACTATAGTTCAAGGGCCGTGGTGGATTTCTTTTTCACTCTCTCTCTCTCTCTCTCTCTCTCTCTCTCTCTCTCTCTCTGTCTCTTTCTCTGATTGAATAAAAATTTTAAAAATAATAAATAAAGTTGAACAATTATTTTAAAAAATTTTAAAAACTTACAAATGTACTTCAAACGACACTGTCAAGAAAGTGAGAAAAAAAACAGAATAGGAGAAAATATTTGTAAAACACGTGTATGATAAGGGACTTACATGCAAATTATACAAAGAATTCTTTCAAATCAACAATAGAAAGATAAATCATTTAAATATAGGTGAAAGACTTGAATAAACATCTTTCCAAAGAAGATATACAAATGACAAATAAGCATATAAAAAAAGTCCAACATCATTAGTCATCAGGGAAATGAAATTGAAACCACAGTGAAATACCTCTTCCCACCTACTAAGATGGCCATAATAAAAAAGACTGACAACAAGTGTTAACAGCTGCCTCATACATCCTGGGTAGGGATGTGAAATGGTACAGCCACTTTGTAAACCTGTCTGGCAGCTTCTCCAACAGCTAAACAAAGAGTTATCATATGGTCCAGCAACTCCATTCATGGGTATGTATCCATACAAAAATTTGCACACAAATGTTCATAGCAGCATTATTCTCTGTTGCCAAAACATAGAAAGAACTCAAATATGCAAATAATACATGGATAAACAAAATATGACATATACATAGAATGGAGTACTATTCAGCCACAAAAAATTTCTGAATCATAATGAAGTTCTGATTGATACACGCTACAATACAGATGAACCTTGAAAACGTCATACTTTGTCAACAAATCTGGACACAAAAGGTCAAATGCTAAACAATTTCACGTATATAAAATGTCCGGAGTAGGCAACTGTGTAGAGACAGAAAACACGTCAGTGGTTGCAAAAGGTTTGGGGGAAAGAAAGAAGTATCTACTAATGGATATGAGTTTTAGATGTTGGGGGGAAGTGATAATGTTCTGGAATTAGTGGAACGGTTTCATACCTTGAGTATATATTAAAAAAATCACTGAATTCAGACTTCGAAAGGGTGAATTTTATTATATGTGAATTATATCCCAATAAAAAAAGAATAGTTTTTGGTTTCTCACAGGTGCTACATTTTTTAAAGTATTTATTTTATTTTATTAATTATTGTTATTGTTGTTGTTATTTTTAATTTGACCAAAGAGAGAGAGAGAAAGGGAAAGTGAAAAAGCAAGCCACCAGGTCTAGGACTTGAACCACGGACAGTCATGTGGGAGTCTAGCACCTTAACCACCACGCCACCTGCTGGCCCTATAGGAGCTACATTAAGCAAAACAAGTCACTCAGTTTGGAGCACCTCTGTTCATCATCAGGGAGCCGAGTAAGAGAAGAATGCTCAGCAAATCAGCAGGA